GTCAAGCGCAGCGCCTCCAGCAGCCGCCAAACTTAAGGAGGAGAGCAGCACAAAGGAAGGCAAAGGAGACGTGAAGACAGAGCATCCGGCTGCCAGCCAGGTGAAGACAGAGGTCCCTGAGGTTGCTGCTGCCTCTAGCAGCGCGCAGACCATGAAGAGAGAAGCCCCTTCTGCGGCCCCTTCTGCGAGTCCGTCCGGAGTGGCCGATGACCGTGTGGTGAAGGCCCGGATGCAAAGAAGGGAGTTGGTCGATCGCCTGAGACAGCTAGATGAGGAGCACGGGGTCGCGGTCTTCCTGGACCATCACCAGCTCTCCTCGATCTCAGATCTCAACTGCGAAGGCCACTCAGCCCTTCACCTGATGGCTGAAGAAGTGCGGCTGGGTGTGTGCGGCCTGCCACTTGCACTTCAGATACTGGAGGCGGCCCCGAGCGAGATCATCAATACCAAGACTCGGTCTGGAAGACCGAGTGATGCCACCTGCCTCCATATGTTGGCGGGAAGTGGCAGGGACCATGGGGCAGCCAAGGCGCAGATCGTGCAAAAGCTGGTCCAGAAACGGGCGGACTTAGAGATCCGAGACGCGCGCGGCTCAACGGCCTTCCTGAGGGCGGCCGGCTGCCAGAGTTTGGAGGTGCTCCAAACTTTGGCAGAAAGCAGAGCTGACATACACGCGACCCAATCGACTGGCAGAAACGCATATGATGTCGCGAACACAGAAGCTGCTCGGTCCAACTTTAGAAGCCGGCCTAAAGCCTGACGCGTTTTTTGAAATTTAAAATGGTAATAGTAATAGTAATAGTAATAGTAATAGTAATAGTAATAGTAATAGTAATAGTAATAGTAATAGTAATAGTAATAGTAATAGTAATAGTAATAGTAATAGTAGTACATCATGACAGCATTACAAGTTCAATAGCATAATAGCAGTAATACCTCTTTGTTCGATCCTGGTCGTAGTCGAACCTGCTCAGGTGAAGAACTACCTGAAGACATTGGGCCTCACCTACAGTGGCGCACGTGGCTACAGCTCTCGTGAAGCCTTCCCTGAAAGGAGCAGACAGCGGCGCGAAGACAGAGGAGACCTTCAAGTTTCAGAGTCCAGGCGAGATCGAGCGCGCAGATATCATCGATAATAGCCTCGAAGCCAGGCCTTCGGCTGTCAGCCAGGCTGCTGCTCCGGCGCGTTCAGCTGTAAGCCGTGCTGCTGCTTCTGAGCAGAACTTGCGGCTGTCAGCCAGGTTGCTGCTCCGGTGCGTGCCAGGCTCCTGCTGCTTCCGCACAGACCTTTCGGCTGTCAGCCAGGTTGCTGCTCCGGTGCATGCCAGCCTGCTGCTTCCGCGCAGACCTTTCGGCTGTCAGCCAGGCTGCCGCGGCTGTCAGCTAGGCAGACCAGGACGTTGCGCACGCAGGCAGGAAAACGAAGGTGGGCGCTGGCCTTTTTCCGGGAAGTGTGTATGTGGGGTTTTGGGGTTGTAGGCTCAGGGCTTTGGGCTTATGGCAAGTATCCTGAACTCCTAGACCCGACTTACAGACTTACACCCTATTAGCCCTGAACCCTAAACTCTAAACCCTAAAAGCCCTAGCCCAAAACCCTAGGCCCTAAACCCTACAATGCCCTAAAATTCCCTAAGCCCTATTTCTGTTGAGAAGCCAAGCCGCTCCGGTAACGAAGGGGCCCTAAACCCTCAACCCTCAACCCTGCCCTAAACCCTATGTCAGGTGCCGAGAAGCCAAGCAGGTCGGTTGAGTTACGTCAAGTAGCTGAATCCGAATCCTATAATTTCGGGGAGGGGGGGGCAGGGCGGCGCAGTAATTGCCACTAGTCAAGCATCAAGCTCAAAAGCGGCCGCATCGAAAGCCAGCTGGCTGAATACAGAAAGTTGCAAGTACTTCGATGTAGATTCTATGCAGATGTAGATTCAGGCATGACGCACGTTGTCACAGAGGCTCAAGCCCAGACATAGACTCGTCTCAGCATGAAAGGTGCATCCGCTCCGTTGAAGCAGGCCGACTTAGTCTTGTAGTCACAGTCCTTTGGAGGGCTTATAGACTCGGTTTAGGAGTTTGAGCGGCTAGCAGCTAGCTGCTAACTTCAGGGTTGGAGTCTTCAAGTTTTTAAAGTCTGCATGTTAAATTAATAATTTAATAATTATAGAGTCATAGAGTCATAGAGCTTTAAATTAATTATAAAGTCTTTACAGTTATGTAGACCTAGTCTCAGACCGAGCCGCTTAGGATTCGGCGGGAGTTTAGGACCGCAGGACCTAATAGATTAATAACTTTTGAAATGTTGTTAAGAGTTATGACATATGACATAATGACATAATACATATATAGCCCATAAGACTTGTGCCGCCTTATGCCATAAGCCTCGAGTTTCGCAGCTTGACGTCAATCGAAACACTTGGCCACCCAAAATGACGTTTGTGTGTGCCTGCCCACACATCGGCTGCCAGCCAGTTTGAGCGCTTGACCTTGCGGCTGCCAGCCGAATGTTTGCAATGCGTGCATGGCAGACACAGCTGAGACAGACGATGAAGAAAATTTAGCTGCTGCGGACCACGTTTTGCGATGCGTCAACAGGTCTGAGCAGCCCAAGCATCGAGGCTTCCTTGCGACAAAGATAGCCCGCCTGGGTCGAAAAGCAAAGCAAGCTTCGTTGAACAAGAGAAAAGTCAACGACAGAATTTCCAAACTCATTCGACGCTACAACGAGGAGTTTGCGAAGACAGCAGAAGAAATCATCGATCTGGACATGCAAAAGCTGCGGCAACCAAAAGGCCGAGGTTCGTACAAAAAGTGGCTTCCATCAGCGCTTCTTCGTGCATGTTGGGGGTCAAAGCCCCGTCGGCGCAACGTTGCTTCCAACACACTTACGCGTCGTTTACACCGAAAGACCAGTGGTGTGAAGATTCCCAAAGTAGCGGCGCCAACAGTCTCAAGCACACGTGCTTTTGCAAGGCAAATGAACAGCAGCACGAGCCACATCGCCAGGGTAAGACAAGGCATGAGCGAGCTGTTTGTGCGCATCCAAGAAGATGCTCTCGACAATCTTAAGTTTGTGCCTCAGCAGTTTGTGCACATTGCTTTAGACGAGACACAAGAGCCAGTGTCTTTGCATGGCAGGAATGAGTTGTGCCAGGTCTTGGTGATTCATATGAAGCTGTTCCGGCTGCCAGCCAGAGAGGCAACCCTAGAGCGACTCAACGTTGTTCTGCCAACAATCCTGCTACAGGGCACGACTACAGCAGACTTGTACTCAGGCCTGCTAGCCAGGTTGCCAGTTTCATTGTCAAAGCTTGCAGCATCTGCTGGAGAGACGACCTTCATGTTGAACACCGACAGTTTCACTAGTTGCCTGCGCTTGAACAAGGTCTTGGCAACCCAAGTTTGCTGTTTGTCCTGCCCTTGCAGAATGCACCAATTGTGCTTGTCTTTGACCTCTGGGCTTGTGTACTCAAACTTGATGTCCGCCTTGTTTTGTGGCTCTCTTACGCTGCGCCAGTCCCGCTTCCAACAGCTTCTGCGCACGAGGCTGAAGACTCTGCTGGGAAAACCTGGCCAGGTGGTCCTGGTATATGAACGGCCTGAAGATTCGGCTGTCAGCCACGCCGAGGCAGTCTGGGACTTGTTCTTTCCGCTGCTAGTCTATGGCCAAGGCCAGAGCCAGAGCCAAACACAGGGCGAACGGCGGCTATTGGGCCGGAAAGCGCAAGCCTGGCGTCGTCTCAAGCGGCATCTGCAAGGTCCACTGTCGTCTGCAACTGTGACACACTATTGTCCGCTTGGTTGTCACACCAGCCGTGAAGCTTTTGTGGAAGAGCTGTACCGCGACCTTTGCACGCTGTTCTTTGATGCGCCGCCGCCGGTCCCGGCATTCAATAAGTGGACGAAGGTTGCCCCAGTCTTGCAATGGTTTGGACCTTTGCTCCGTGTGCATCAACTCCTGCCACAAATCCTGGAGCCAGTGCTAGCGTCAGCTCGCACAGCTGCAGCTTCACGCATAACTAAGGAGTTCCTCCCAGAAGACGGCGACCAAGAGGAAATGCTGGAGGATGCTAGTCGTGATTTTGTCAAACAGGAGTATTTGCGAATTCGCAGGTTCCACACATTTGTCACAGCGCCGAACATTGGGGACAAAGTCATTGCAGTGCTGTGCTCCATGTTGCCCTCCTTGAACGTCCTGGGTGCATTCTTTAAGTCTGCAACAGAGCCAGGACAGGTGTTGGCAAATGCACCTGAAGCTTGTACAGCTCTCGACCTGGGGATGCCATCCCGGTCACCCGCACTGAAGGCCATGGCTGTTCTCATCGAAGCATTGTCGGATGAAAGACATTCACTTTGGCAAGCTCTGCTCCCTGCCACTGCAGCCTGGACTGATGAGCTCTACTGCGTAGCATCTACCGCAGTGCTGCTTCAGCTAGGTCAACTGTACTCCCGACTCGTGCAGCCTTTCGCCTCTTGGCCTTGGAAGGCAGCTCGTTTTTTTGAAAACGATGCAGTCGTGACCCAGGCCGAAAAGGAAGATCTTGCAAAGGAGTTGTTGGCATTGTGCGCTCACCAGGATCCCTTTGTCAATGAGTACAAAAAAGGATTGCACACAGTGCAAGACGTCTTGAGCGAAGATCATTTGGAAAGGACGCACTACCTCCTTACAACGGCACCCATCACGAACTTTGTGAGCGAAAAATCCTTTGCCGGGTCTCACACTCGAAGGGCATGCAACCATGGGGTGAGCCCGAAATTGCCGACCTTGGCAGCAGAGCATGTGTTGGCAGAGAGCAAGTCTGTCGTGGACACTTGCAGCAGTGTGGTGCAGTCTGGAACTGCAGCATTGAGCCGTCCTGTCGCCACGAACAAGGGACGCAGCGCTTGGCACGACTTTGTGAGACAACACATGTCGTCAAATGTGACGTTGTCCCACGTTGCCCGCCTATGGCATGCGTTGGAGCCTCCTGCCCGAAGACACAGCACCTTTCGGCTGCCAGCCAGCAATGGAGACGTTCCCACAAATCGGCTGTCAGCCCGTGGTTGCAGCAAGGACACGCCGCAACACGGTGGCGACTGGCAGGAGCCTTCCTGCGCTGCAACACCTTGGCCGCACACTTGTGACTCGTTCTATCCTATCAGAGCAGACGCCCTTCAAGAGCTGCCACAGGTCGTTCGCAATCTGGCCAGCTCCTGGTGCCAACGCATTGGAGAGGACTTGTGCAAGTCAAAACCAACGCCCGCCATCCAAGACCAACCGATCTGTGACACCGAGTGCGTTGACAAAATCGCAGAGAGTGTGCGTGCTGCCCGAGAAATGTGGCGCAAACGACTCAACCGCTGGTCAGCCTTGTTCAAAACAAGGCCAGGAGCAAAGAACTTTGACAAACCATGGAAGCCCTTGCCACTGTACCACATCTGTCCTTCAGATGCCAGGTTCCCAGGTAATCGTGGTCTGCTTTTGCTGGAAGTTTGTCCTTTGCATGACCATCAAGTGTACTGCCGATGTGCAGGCGCAAACGTGGTCAACGGAGCCCAAGTGCAGCTTGCGATGGAGAGCGCCAATCTCGTTCCGGCTTCAAAGATCTTGCGCGACCTGCAGAAGATGCAGCATGAATGTGGTCCCTTGCAAGCTTCCTTTGTAAACTACAAGCACCAAGGCTTGATTTCGATCGAGATCTTGGGTTTGGACGATTTGGCGGTCAAAGAGAAAGAGCGTGCTTGCAAGGAAGCGGTTCACAAGGATGCAGCGCAAGTGAAGAGAACGATTGGTTTGCTAGACGATGCATCTCTGTGGCAGCCAAAAAAAAGACTCCGGGTCAAGAGCGCAGGCGGTGGCCGTCGCCAAGACAATGCCGCAGAGGGCAGCGCTGGACCTGGACATGACGAGGCGAGTGACCCAGTGCAGGAGTGGGACGCAGAGCTCGATGCACGAGCACAAGTCGGCGAGGTAGAGTCTCACGACCAATGCTTCGCTTACGAGCTTTTCGAGGAGTTCGGGGCAGATGCTTCGGACATTGAAGATGCCCTTGACATGGCCGCGGAGTGTGAAGCGCGTCCTTCCACAGCAACAGCTTCCGCTTCCGGTTCCGGAGCAGCGGGAGGAGCAGCAGCTTCGAGCAGCAGCGCCGGCCGTCAGGCCGACTGCCAAGTGACCATGGACGCAACTGGCCGAGTGTTCGATGGCAGTGGCATTTACTTGGGTCGGTTGACCAGCCTGAAACCTGGCACAAAGGACGAGGCCTTTTCGGTTTACTGCGCGCGTCACGGGTGCCAGTTCTTGCGCAAGGTTGCCAGGGCACCAAGCAAGCAAGCTTTGTTGGCCTGGTTCCAAGAGGGAACAATGCTTCCTGCCGGGAAGCATCCATCTTTGCAACACCGCCACAAGCAAAGCTTTCCGAGTGCAGACGATTGAACCCTTGTGTCTTGCGCTGCATGCGTTGGCCCAGCCGACTTCACTTGTCGCCGACCTGTCAGCAAAATCGGCTGTCAGCCAGTTGCTGCCGAGTCAACAAGCAAGGTTGCTGTGAACATGTTCGGCTGCCAGCCAGAAAGTTGCTCGCTCCGGGCTGACGACCTGGCACTGAACGAATGAATGTACATTTCAGTACAGTGCGTTCGCGAGTCGCTTGTGACCTGACACTTTGCGCTGAAGTCAAGTGCCTCAAAACGAGCGGAAGCGGGGACTCGTCTTCGGTCTGGTCTTGGCTGAGTTCGAGTCCTGTCTAGTCAAGTGTAGTGAGTGTAGTGTAGTTACTGTAGTTACGTGACCGTGTTCTGTTAACTGCTGACACGGTTGACTTGCTAACTGAGTGATTAAGACTGACTAAGACTCAGACTCACTCAGACTAAACTGTTAGGTTTTGAAGGTTTTGAAAGTTCTATTTTAATTAATTCTATTTTAATTTTAAGTAAGTCTTAGTGACAAGTCTTAGTGTTTTAGTCTTAGTCTTAAGTCTTAAGTCTTAAGTCTTTAAGTCTTAAGTCTTAGTCTTAAGTCTTAAGTTCTTTTACGTCTAAGTCTATGAGTCTAAGTCTAAGGCTCTAAGGTATTTTACAGTTAGCCTGTCAAAGCTGTCCGTTAGTTTAGTTTAGTTTAGTCTAGTTTAGTTTAGTGAGTTTAGTGTTTTAGATTCAGATTTTAGAGTCTTAGTCTTTACACTTAAGACTCTTAGACTCTTAGAATCTACCTTCCGTCTCTAGACTTACTCATAGTCACTAAGACTCTAAGTCTTTAAGTCTTGGTCGTTTAGGAAGTTTAGGCTCAGGCCAGTTTTTTGTCTGACATTTGACTTCACGGTTAACCGGTTCCGTCGTCAACCATTCATAGGTCAGACATCGCTAGTTATAGCCGTTATGACTTGCTGTGATAATGCCATAGCCGTTAGACTCTTAGACACCCAGGCTTGAGCCTTATTAAGCCTTCATCATTAAGCCTTAAGCCTTAAGCCTTAAGCCTTAAGCCTTAAGCCCTTAAGCCAAGTTTTGAGCCGTAGGCTGTGACAAGTCTTAAGTCCGAAGTCTTATGTCCAAAGCGTAAAGTCCCACGTCTTGAACGGTCTTAAAATCCTTAAGCCCGGCCTCGAACGCTTGAAAACTATACGTATAAGTAGTTTTAAGCCTTAACGCCTGAATAGGCTTAAGGCTTAAGCCTAAGCCTTAAGCCTTAAGCCTTCAAGTTTTAAGCCTTTCAGCCTTTAAGCTTTAAGCCAGCCAAGCTTTTCAGCCTTACAACTTCCCTAAGCCCTAAACCCTAAACCCTAAAACCCCCAAACCTAAACCCTAAACACCCTAAGCCCCTAAGCTCTAAACTCTAAACTCTAAACCCTAAACACGAAACCCTAAACTCTAAACCCTAGGCCCTGAACCCTAAACCCTCTAAACTAAACCTTAAGCCTTAAGCCTTAAGCCTTAAACCCTAAACTGCCCTAAACCAACCAAGCCCAAGCAAAGCTGGCCCTGTTGCCGCTAGAGCCGTTGAAGCTAAGGCCCGAGGCTTTCAAGTGAAAGGGTTCCAAGGCCCACGCCCGAAACCCAAAAGAAGATATACAAGACTTTCAGTTTGACCTAACGTCATTTATGTTCAGCTTTTCAGTATCGTGTAAGCAACGGCCCAAGCAACAAAGGAACAGGCGGCGTACGAGGTCCAAGCTTCGAGGCTTAAGGCTGGCTTAAGGCTTAAGGCTTAAGGCTTAAGGCTTAAGGCTTCAGGCATAAGGCTTAGGATGGGGAAGGCGGCTCGTTGCTGGGGCTTGGCGACTTAGCGGCTGAAGCTCGCTGGCCAGGTGCGGCAATTCAACCGGTGTTCGGCTGTCAGCCATGAACGGCCCCTGGAGCCCTATTCGATCAAATCGTTTCGTTATGCTACACTGCCGCGATGGCTCCCAGCTTCAGCTTGCAGAGGACGGTAGGACCCGGTAATATAACTATGATTCACTATGATGATGACGGTCACACTTGCAAATCTGCGCACTTATCATGCCTGGCGGTTTTAAGGCTTACAATTTTAAAGCTGAAAGTTTAAAGTCCCACACTGAAGTGTCTAATAGTAGGCCCACTTGCTACTGCTACGCCTGCTAGCCGAAGGTTGGCTGGGCTGTAACTGTAAGGCTGTAATAGGTTTGTTTAGTTAAAGGTTAAAGTAGTTTAAGCAAGCCCAAGCCTGTAAGTTTTTAAGTCTTTAAGTCTTTAAGTCTTTAAGTTTAACGTCTAGAGTCTAAAGTCTCTAAAGTTTAGCTCTGGAGTCTAATCGTTTAGTTATTTTAGTTACGTTTAAGCCAGCCTAAGCATATTAATAGGAATTATTAATAGTTAACACGAGTTTAAAGTTCAAAGTTCAAAGTCAGCATAAGGCTTAAAGGGTTAAGGCTCTTAAGGCTTAAGGCTTAAGGTTTCAGCAAAGCTTTGGTTCTGGCCGTAATAAGACTGTGGAGTCGAAATCCAAGAATCTAAGTCTAAGGACCAAGGGCAAAGGCCCAAGATTAAGTTTAGTCACGTCATGAGATAACTGACTAGACACGAGACATTAGAATCATTAGACTCTAGAGACTCTAGAGTCTAGAGTCTCGAGTCTAGAGTGTAGATCATGACCGATGAATGCAATAAATGGTTCAGATTGATTGAATTTCAAAACAATGCCGGTTTTAATGAGCTTATGGACCCACGGAAATTGAAGCATGGAATAGTGATGGATGACAACTGACAATGTGTCAGAGTGTGAGACTGTCAGTTTACTGTTGCCCGAGTAATGACTTGATTAGTGATCAGTGATCAAGGATTCATCGATGATGAGTACGATGAGTATAAATGGCAAAAATGACTATGTCCATGTGACTTCATTGGACTATGCCTTATGTCACGGCTTATGTCAGTTAGAGTTAGTGACAATGGTAATGTGGTTGTAATCAAACGATCACATGATGATTGGGATGGATTAAACTGATGAAACGGTGTGTTTTGAACAATTTTCATGACGGTTGTGAGCACTTGTTATCTTGTTCATCTAGAATCTAGAACCTAGAATCCACAGTCTATATAATAAAGTCTATAATCTATACTATAATACTATAATACTATAATCACTATAATCTATCTATAATATAGAGTCCATCACTATATAATATGGCAATTTGATTTAAAATACAGATTATTTAAAATTTAAAAGTTTAAAATTTAAAATTTACAATAGTATTTATACAATTTTCAATGACATAGAACAGTTTGTTCATTAAATGATGCATGAAGGTCAACGACCTCTTACGTGCGACTTTTCGCACGGCTTTGGCTAGAATATTTGCACAACAAGACATAGACGCCTGCCTCCGCCCAGGCAGGACAGGCTGCGGGTCTGTTTGCAGCTCTGTGTCTGGGCTGCAGCCCCGAAGCACATGGGTCATGTGTGGATCAAGAACAAATCCTTCCGCCCATGTGCACTTTGGACCCGGATGAGATGGCAGGTGGCTGCCGTTGAGCTGCGACCCGTGGTCTGGGTCGCAGCCCCGTCTTGATTTTGATGTTCTTCTCGACAGCAACGGTCCTTTGCCGATCGAGGAGAAATCCTCCCAAAGGCTGCGAGCACATAAGGTTGCTGCAGACACTTGGCTGGTGCCACAGCTGGGGGGCCCTTTGCATGATCCGCTTCGAAGGTGTATTTCCTTTCAGAGATACAAGTTCAAGGCTGTGCGACGTACCGCTGCATTGCAGTAGGCCCTTATGTTTTGTATGATGCATAGTTATTTTTTCGCTTGGTCCTCCAGTAGAGTCAATAAAAGTTACGGTTTCCCCGCTGCAAAACGGCTACAGATTGACACGAGGTTTACCCGGTTTAACCGCTCAGCCTATAATTTCAAGGCTATAAGCCTTATAAGCCTATAAACCTATAAGCCTATAAAGCCTATAAAAAACGGCCTATATAATGATTAGATAGAATCTCAGACAGAATGGTGACATCTGATCAATGCTTGGCTACACAATCTCATGAACAAACTAAATAGGAATTAAGAGGGTTCCTGAATCAATACTGTCAATAATGAATGGAATCAATGGATACAATGTGGCTCAGACTGTAGTTGAGTTGCCTGTGCAACAGCATGTTCACAGCAGTTTTGCAGCGGTAATGAAGCGTGAGTTGCCGCGCAGACACCTGACGCGCCACCTGTTCGCGGCTGGCAACGTCATACGAGCCCAGCCCAGTTAACTGAAACCTGCTGAACTGTTAACTTTGCGAAGCAGTTGTTGCAACCACAAAACCAGAGGTCGCCACAGGCCCCTCATTAGGACCACTGACTTCATCTAGTCAGTCAATGCGGGACAGATCGAGTCGCATCACAGTTTTATTTTTTTTATTTTTTGATGCTTTCATTTCTTGAAAATTATTGATTTTCCGGAATTTCTACCAACATGAATTTCCGACAGACAGATTTTCAGGAATTTCAGCCAGGGCGCGAGTTACAGTGGCAAATGGAGAGTTACAGTCCGCTAACTATCAAAACGAACCGCTAACTCGCAATTCGGCAGATATGTCAGATATTCAGAAAATCATAATTTACATTCGGCAGAAATTCAGAAATTCATAAGTTCAGAAATAAAATTCGGAAGAAAATGGCAGAAAGTATAATAATAAAAAATAAATAAAAGTCAAATCAATGGCTCCAGGGTGAATAGTCATAAGCTCACTAGTCAGAAAACTCTTAGGAGTCATGGGCTGAAAGGGCCGAGTCTATAGGGTCTAGAGTCGAGTCAGACAGCATTGAATATTAACTAGTGTCAGCCTCTGGAGCTAGGACAGGGTTCGCCATGGGGAGGAAGCAAGCGGCAGACTCAGGCCAGCAAAAGTTGGTCTTTTCTTCTCCGACGTTGGCGGCAGACAGCCAGAGACCGGCGGCCCCCGCTGCTCCAGCACTTTCGGCTGCCAGC